CGGGCGTCTCCCTTCCGTCTGGTTGTCTGGGTTAGTGGGGGTCATTTTCAGAAGCGGCTCTTCAGCTCCTGCTATCACCTGAGCCTCCGCTACTTGCCAATCAGCCTGCGCTGCCTCCTCTCTGATACCTTCCTAGGACCCATCACCTTATATTTAAGATTTCCCTAATTTGTTTTTCTTTGACTTTTTTTTAATCATCTAGCTACACTGCATTGATTGATTTGTGAATTCTCCAAAAACATAAATAGGAACCAGGGTAGTGCATGGCATGATCTGGAAAACATGACGCTGATACAGGGCACTCGTCAAGCAGCACGACAGGAAACGAACACACGCATCTTCTACTTGAAGGGTTAGTGATATGGCGCTTGAACCTAAGGGCCCAAGGAGTTTTCACTTATTCAAATATTAGGGCAAACATTTTATTCAGCATTAGTATGTTCTAGGGACAGCACTAACCAAAAGTGACACAAAAATTACAAAGTTCACAGAAGTGACATGTGAGCTGGACTTCAAAGGGAAGAGCCCATCTGGGCAGAGGGACGTGATGATCAAGGCCCAGGCAGGACAGTGCAGGGCGTCTAAGGAAGTTTGTTCATGGCTAGAGCCACCAATTCAGAGGAGTGACAAGAGACCAGAGCAGGGACACGAGGACAGGATGAAGCCAGACCACAAACCCCACAGCAGGCCTCCTCCAGGCAGGTCAAGGTAAGCACGGGGGCTCTGCTGTCAGATGGGTTCTGTTAGAGACGAAACACCTTCCAGCTCAGTGACCTTGGGCAGTTACTGGATCCCTGAACAGAAGGAAGACTGGTCCCTACTTCACGGGCCTGTGTGACATCAACGAGGTGCACACACACACGGAGGGGGCAACTCATGCTGCTCAGTTCGGGGGCAGCAGCTGCCGCTGAGAGCCCTGTGACAAGCTTCCTATGAAAGGACACTGTGGTCCAGCTGTAGTGCAGGTCCCTGCTAGGGGACGGACCGGACAGGAGAACCCACAGGTGGCAGAGGGGCCGGAGGCCTGAACCAGGATGGCGGCCGCAGCGACGGCCCGCAGAGCTAGACCCGCCAGGGCTATGAGGGCACGTCTGCTCGCGTGGGGCATCGACCTGGGGTGGGCCTGCAGGTGTGGCTCCAAACGCCTAAAGGTCGGCACCAGTCGCATATACTGGAAACAATGGGAGTGATGGGTCCCTTCTGGACACACGGGCAGAAGCACCAGCGGGCCACCTCAATGGAAATAGCCACAGGGATTCGGAGTCCCGGGCAAGGGACAGAGATCGCTCCGATCTCAAAGTCATCAGCGGCACAGAAGACACCCACACAGAGTGTGAGTGAGCGCCAGCGAGGAGCCCTGCTGCACCTGCGTTTCGGGGCAGACAGAGGGGATTTCACAGGAAACGAGCAGACGGAGAGGCAGGAGAACCGGGATGTGCGTTACCAGGGGACCAACAGAGCACGCCACCCCAGTGCTTCCGGAGGTACGACGGTCCGTGGTTTAAAAACGGAAAGAAACCAAGAGAGGACAGAGTGGTGGTGGTGGTGGGGAGGGTCAGCCAAGCAAAGACGAAGGCTGACCTGTCGTGACTCTCACGACCGCCTGAGAGAGGAGGGCGCTGCAGGCGGGGTGCAGGGCTCACGGTCACAGAGCACCACCTGCTCCTCCCAGAGCCGGGCTGTGGGCGCACTGCAGGCACACACAGGAGGGACACAACCGCAGCAGACAGGACAGGCAGGGGGGCGGGGCCGCTGCAGGGGACCTCTGCACAATGTGTCACGGCTGGCTGTGGGACAGCACCTCGTCTGCGGCCTGTACCCACTTCCAAGGTGTAAATACTCCCGCCACGGCTGATTTCCAGCCATCAACAGATCATCAAGAGGCTAAAAGCCTTGACCTTGCTGGCGAGCAAGCCTCAGTACAGCCCTGAGCACAGGGCAAGTTCTTGTGCACCCATCCAGAGGTCGGCTGGGAGTTCAAGGTAAGGCCTGAAGAGTTAGATCCACACTCCCTGGATGCTTCCTCGATGGAGACACAGACGGAGCTGCTCTCTGAAAGAAGCCGTTGTGGGATGGTCAGCTCGGCTGCTACCCGTCCAAGTCACCCTGTCTTCAGGGGACCAGGAACCGTCACTCAGACAACTCTGTTCTGTGCTTCAGATGAAACTTGTTGGCTGAGCAAGGCTGCAAACAGCCAGTCTTCAAAAAGTAACGGTGCAAAGGGGCCCCTGGGGGGCTCAGTGGGTTAAGCCTCTGCCTTCGGCTCAGGTCATGGTCTCAGGGTCCTGGGATCGAGCCCCGCATCGGGCTCTCTGCTCGGGGGGAGCCTGCTTCCTCCTCTCTCTCTGCCTGCCTCTCTGCCTACTTGTGTTCTCGCTCTCTGTGAAATAAATAAATAAAATCTTAAAAAAAAAAAGTAATGGTGCAAGGAAACAGCAAAAAAGGCTACAGGACAACTTACTTTAAAATGGACCAAAAAATGCAATGTCTTAAAAAAAAGAAAAAAAAGGCAAAGTCTTCGTGAATGGAGAGACAGCTAAGGGAAGAAGCAGGTAAAATAAAATGAAATTATGGGATCTGGATGACAGGGGTTCACTGTAAAATTCTCTGAACTTTACCGTAGGTTTCAAAGTCTTAATAAAATGTTGAAAGAGCGAACAGAGAAAGTTACCCAAACGCTTCCACTGCAAACGCACCTTCGGTCCCCAGCGCCGCCCCAGCAAGGCAGCCAACCACTAGTCTAGAAGCCAGGTTTTACTGCCACTCCTCTTACCAGAATCCCTACTCTAATTCTCTGTGGTGGACAAGACTTGACATTACCCTGTGTCACAACGCTGCTACACGACAAACACAAAACCAAAATGGCACCCAAAAAAAGCATTTACTTAGGAACAAAAATCCCAGCTTTAACTCCTAATATGATAAACACCTGTAAGTATAACCTACATGCACAAAAGCTCCCAGGAATCCGTAAGTTCCAAGAATGACAGAGGTCTGGAAAGTGGTCTGTGGCGTCACTGCGCTTCCTGCGACACTTGGTCTCACACAAGGGTGATTCGGAAACATAACGCCTCCAACCCAAAAGCCAGGCTACAGGACTCCTTCCACAACTCCTGTCGCGGGCAGCGTCACCGCAAGTAACTTCGACCTCATCTTGCTTGTTACCGACGTTCCCCTACGTGTCAGCGAAGTGGGCCGGGACGTGTGGGTGTGGGGGAAGCTCTGAGCTGCCGGCGAGCGGGGCAGTGCTGCCTGCTGGTCCTGAGGAGTTCAGGCCCACACCTGCCACTGAAGCCAGGTGCTGGGAACTACTGTCCTCGTCCCTCTACCCCCATGCTAGAAAATCTGCACAACGAAGAGCACGGGGAAGGGCGACCACCACCTTGACCGGCACCGGATGAGAGCAGTCAGTTTCTGGCTGTCCTCAGTGCTGTCCCCTGAACTTTTATACCTAAGTCTAACCTCGTTCTTCGCTGAGGACTTCCAAAGAAGCAGGGAAAAATCAAACCCCAAGTGGAACACAGAAAAGACAGCAAGAAAACTCGATAGTAATAACACTCGCAGTGACTTTAGGCTTTGCCAAGAGCGACCGCCCAGCCCGGCAGAGCATCACGAGAAGCATGACTAAGAAAACCAACCTCACTTGCTTGCCAAATTCTGGGCAGAAGAAACTTCTTACTTAGAACCACCCCATGGAGAATACGGAGGACAACTCAGGAGCCTGGCCCGCCAGGCTTCGTCTGCAGCAGCCGCGGCCAACAGCGGCTCACCCGAGGGCTCTCAGGGCCCCACGGCTCACGGACAGGGAAAGCACCGAGAGAACAGTCGTGCATCTTGTGCTTATATTTGAAAGACAGAATGAGGGGGTCTTGATAATTATGTCTCGAGCAAAAAGCACTGTGCGAAAGAGGAAGCCTGCCCCCCGACACCAAGAGGGTGCAGGTCCCACGCTGGATAGTCGAGGGACAGAGGACACTGTGTCCCAGGGCAACATGTCTAAGGGAAAAGGACAAGAGCAATGTCGGGGGAGAGGAGCCCCCAAGCCTGAGTGACAACTGCCCATCCCGGGAAGCGAGCCCCCATTGCGTCTTCTCAACAGCGGCCCCAGCCAGGAGCTGACCTACAAGGACTCAGTTGCAGTTTCCAGTGCGCGCTTCTGCACATGAGCACAGGGCAGCAGTGCGGAGGCTAACTGTGACCTGAGGCGGGGACGGCTGGCTCTGTGATCTCGTCACAGTGGGGCTTTATGTTGAAAATGAAGCATTAATGAGGAACCCGTGAGGCACACTGTGCCCGAGACACAGACAAACGGAGAACAGAGGCCAGGGAGGGTGGAGGTGAGTGGCCTCCAGTGCCCCAGGCCTCCTGATCACAGGGCCTAGTCAGGGCCACCTGGCCCTCACGAGCCCCATGTGTCACCGACACTCAGCCTACACTGTATGGTAAGTGAGACGCTGTGACTGTCCCACCAGCCCAGGAACCAAGGAGACTCAGCCTCGCGTGACATGTGCCCTCGGTCATCCCCAGAGCCGCGCTGTCCGATATGGTGGCCCCGACCCACGCAGAGCTATCGCGGTGCCACTGGAAAGGAAATACAGATAAAATGCCAGGTCCCTGGCTGCATGAGGCACATTCCAAGTGCTCAAAAGACACATGTGGCTGACGGCGACAGACTCAGTACTGGAAAGAACGTTCCGGGTCTCCGCAGAAAGTTCCACAGGACAGTGCCGCTCTGGAACCTAGGACTTCTGTGGTATGAGGCAGGGAGGAGAGTGTAACAACCTTCGTTCTTCCCCCGAGTAAACACCCGTATTTGAGACTTTCATAGCAGAGGTGTGGTCACATATTACGGGCCCAACTTAGAGAAACCACGTACCTTACTAAAAAACACCGCGGCTGATGAAAGCTCTCAAAGTCTTTAACCAAAGAGCATCACAAACATCTGTGTCCCCCAGCCTGGTGGACCTCCTCCCCCAGAGCCATCACACAGACGCACTCACCTTTGGCGTGTTTCCCCACAGTCCTTTTGGGTGGCGAGTCCTCCGTGGCATGGACTGATGTGTGGAGAGCGCTCTCCAGACTGGTGCTCATGCTGCCAATCGGGGCCTCGGTTCTTGGTGTTACCTGGGAGGACAAAAAAAAAAAAAAAAATCATATTTTCTTCCATCTGGTCCATGTGGAATAATTTTCATTCCTGAGAGTAATGATGTTTATTATAGTTTCAATTTTCATATAAAACATGCATACAAAAATTTTACATAAAAACTTTTTTTTTTTAAGATTTTTTTTTTTTAATTTATTGGACAGATCACAAGCAGGCAGAGAGGCAGGCAGAGAGAGAGAGGGAAGCAGGCTCCCCGCCGAGCAGAGAGCCCAATGTGGGACTCGATCCCAGGACCCTGAGATCATGACCTGAGCTGAAGGCAGAGGCTTTAACCCACTGAGCCACCCAGGCGCCCCAAAACTTTTTATATAAAATGCTACTTACATGATAGTGTCACAATAACCATTCCCTGACAGGATAATGGAACAATAACCGCTCCCTGCTGAAGACAACATCACCCGTCTCCTGCTCACCACTCAGGTTTACAACCAGCCAGGCCGAGTGCCCGTCGGAGTGGGGCCAGGCCGCTGCTTCGGGCGCCCGCTCGGGGCAGACGGAGTCACGCACTCTGTGAGTTACATACCTCCACCTGATCCAAAACCTTCTCTCTTATTTCTTCAGATCAAAGAGTTCCCTATAAAATTAATTACACAGCTGGACCTAACACTGTCCTATAAATCTTGAGTAAGTCACAAAATGCTCTGAAAGGAACAGTCAAGAAGAGACCACAACTCGATCGACATGGGGGTACACATCCTAACACACTACAACCCCACGTTTAGGAATTCGTCACACAAAGTTCCTAACGTGAGACAAGTACGGGGCGGGGGGTGCTCACAGCAGCAGCTTCTGCGAGAGTGGAGGGCAGAAAGCCCCGGAAACGGCTGTGCACAGAGCTCCAGCCACATGAAGGCCGGCAGGTGCCCGGGCGCTCTGCAGCACCCCCCAAGTTCACACAGGCTGCCCCCGACCCCCGCTCTCTGCCCGCATGTCTCGAACACACAGTGGGAGAGGAGACAGCAAGCGGTGAACCGCAGTGACCTCGGAGGAGAGAGGAGACCCCCGGGTGCCTGGGCAGGGGCAAGAACTTCCGTTTTTCCTTCTTAACAAGGATCAGTAGCTAGAAAGTTTACAGCCAACATTTACCTAGTACTTGTAAGACTGAGAAGAATGAAAGTGACCAATGCTTTGACTTCCTCGCAGTCACCATTCAGTATGTAAAAATTTCAAAGGAAAGTCAAGATTTTAAAGTTTATCAAGAGAGGTGTAAGTTTGAGAGGGTGAGAAACACTGTGCTACACACACGAGGAGGGGCAAGGTCGGCAGGAGAGGAGCGTGACTGCTGGTCTCCATCCTGATGTGGAGTCGCGGGGGATGCACGCCTCGGGGGCCCCTGGTTTTCATCAGTTGGTTCACTCCCTGGAAGGCACGGGGCGGCCCGTCGGAGCCTGGAGCCCAGTGCAGGCACGGAGGGCCATGACGGCAGAGGCAGAGAGCCAGCAGGAGGGGCCGGACAGGCTGCCAGCCTGCAGCACAGCGACAGCCAGCACCCTGCGGGTACCCGGCGAGCCCCTCTCCTCCCAGCCACCCACCACGTCCGAGCCACGGCAGGAAGGCCTCCCCGCATGCACACAGCACGGGCCGACAGGTCCTACGCCACGCAAGAAGAGCCGTCCAGCACGGTCTGGTTAAATCTGGAAGGTCACATTCCCCAAGGAAATAAATCCTAATCATGCACGACTCCTCTAAAAAGTCAATTTTTCAGATAACATTACCAAGATGTTATCAAGACAGTTAAAATTTTGAATTACTTTTGTCATTTAACTAAATTGGATTATTTCCCTCAGATTTGGCAAAGTTTCATCCAAAGGTCTGAGTATTGCAGAAATGAACTTCTTTCCTATGAAATAAGGTAACAGAAGCAACAGTTACAAGTAATTACAGAAAGAGCAAGGTTCCTAGTTTCAAACAGGAACTATTGCTTTGGGAAACAGCCCAAGAGGTTAACATCCTAACTCCTGCGAGGAACGTGAGCACAGCGGAGGCCAGTGGGTCTGGCCTGGACCACACGAGCCTCCAGCTCCCTGGGCTGCCCTGGGAAGCACAGCGGAGTCCTCGCCCGCAGGACAGCTGTCCGGACAACCAACCACGGAAGTGCTGGCCCCTGCCAGTGACACACCGGTCCAGCACAGACACAGGCACGCACACCGACGCCCGCCGAAAGCGTTCCAAACAGCCACAAACAGAAAACCAGCCCCGGTGGGGGCAGAAGCAGGGATGGGGAGAGACGGGAGCCCAGCCAGGATGCCAACCGCAAGCGCAGCCTAGGAGTACAGACAGCTGCACGGGACGGGTGGTTCTCAACCCTGATGTGTGCAGAACTCCCAAGGCCCGGCACGAGCGCAGGTCGCCCACCCCCAACCCTCAGCACTTCCAGAGCGGGCGGGACAGCGGCCGCGGTGTTCTTCTGTCTCGTGCACTGGACGCTTCCGCCCAGGTGCCAAGCACTGGAGGCCCGTGGTCTGGTCAGCCCCTGTGAGGACGAGGTGTCAGCGGCGCGGGCAGGAAGCGCGTCCTTCCGTGGGCTGACGGGGAGGTAAGGGTGGAAGTCCACGCGCCCTGGCTCCCAGGAGAAGGGGAAAGCCTAGGAGCCACACTACGGAAGCCCAGGCCGTGCTGACAACACAAACACGCGGAAGAAAACTCTAGACTAGGACCAGCGGGAGAGAAGCATGTGTTCACCCCACTGTGCTATACCAGAACATCTCTTCCGAGTTTTCCAGATGCTCACTTTTTCCAACCAGCCTTTCTCCCGACTTTGCTCCTCTGTTTACACTGAAAGCGCTCTTCCCCTGCATTTCCCAGAAATGCTGTGTTTGGGGTTATTTTTGGTTAAGTTAATTTGCCCCACGTGACCTCCGCAGTTCAACTCGGATGCTCTCTGACTCACGCTCACAAGCAGAGCTCCAGTCATGAGCCTGATGGACACGAGAATAAAGACTCGATCAGTTCCAAATGTCGTCCCTTGCTATGGCCAAAAGGGCAAACGAGAAGATGCTGTCCAACGCCCAGCCCAACCCAGCCACTCCCATCAGTTCCAGGCCCTCTGTCCTGCGAGCACCTGGCTTTCTCACCCGATGGACACTCCCTGTGCCCCCGGGACCGGCTGATCAGCGTCCCACCGCCAGACAGCTTCTGCCACGACCTACAGGGGACCTGCCATCTCTCCCTTCTCCCCTCCACTGAATGCACTATGGCCACCAGGGTGGGCCTGGCAGCCAGGATCTGCCTGCAGCGGCCCCAGACCCCATATGTATCTGCACGGCCCCCTCACGGATGTCACGTCCACACCTGTGTGACCTTCTCAGTGAGGACCTGTCCGACCTCGATGAAGTCAGGACTTCTGGTCTGTTTCACTTGCTGCTGTAGCCTCTGCATCTGGACAGAGCCTGGTGCAACACAGGCGCCTCATGGGTGTCTGTACAATCAGACCATTTCCCCAAGTTCTAGCGAAATCAGGATGAACCAGACAAAAACGGCACCTGTGCTCCAAAGCAGAATGTGTGCGTTCTCAGTGACACATGACACAACCGCAGAGCACTTGGCCGGCGCCAACACAGGACGGACAGGGCCATGAGCGTGAGTGCACTCGGCCCCCATGAGGCACACGCTCCAGGAGAGTGATGTGGCCCACCAGCCGCTGCACGGTGAGCAGGCAGGAACGGGCCTGAGTGCCAGCCCTGGGACGCCAGGAGCCAGTGTTGCAGCTCCGAGCGCCAGCCCTCTTGCGGGCACGGCTGTGTGCACGATGCTTCCGCAGTTTCTGACGTGCAGGATTAGACTGAGAAGGTCAGGCGGGCCCGGGACTCTGCATTCCTCTCAGGTGCTGCTGGCACTGCAACACTTCCAAGGTGAAGCAGCTCGCTGTGGTCAGAACGTGCAAAGGCCCAACAACCCCTCCCGGGCGGAACACGCAACGGAACCCCAGCGCTGCGCAGATTAGATCCGATGAGCTCCAAGGCTGCTTCCACGGGTACGGGACAGAGACACCAAAGCGTACCACGTCAGCCTGGAGATGCGAGGGGGGCCAGCGGTGGGGCTCCTGCCTGTCCGTCCACTCCCTCAAAGAGGTGCTTTCCTCAAAGGCTTCCTCAGTGCTGGGCTCCGGCCAGAGAGACCAAAGCAACACAGGGTGCCTGAGGCTTTGTGCTGGAAACTCACTTAACGACTCAGGGACCAGGACCACAACTGTTAGCAGAAAGGTTTCAGTTTTAAAAATCGATTTCGTTAAAGATCATTCAAAGTCATCGGACGGGACAAAGGCAGGCAGAGGGCAAAGCAGGCAGCAAGCGTGCAAATGTTCAACATCTCAGTAATGCTGGGGACTTTTCAAGAAAAACCTGGCAGAGCGACAGTGACTCTGCTGAAAATCCAAACACTCAGCGTCCCAGCCGTGCCGCCGCAGGAACAAGCCTTCTGTAATCCGGGTAAGAGACTGGAGGCGCTGCGGCAGGCAACGGGAGCGCCCCGGGTACTTATTCCCAAGGGCATGGTTCTCCATGGCGAGCCCCCCGCAAACAATCTCTTGGGGGACGCCTACAAAAGACGATGGCCGGCCCCCCACCATGAAGTCAGCAGTTCCAAAGTCTACCCTCAGATACACCCAAACCCACTCGACAGGACATCTCTGAGGGTCTCCCCTGCAACGACGCACACAGTAACGATGAAGTGCGCTCCCGAGGGCTGCAAGACAGACGACGGCTGTGCACAGAGCTGCGAACGGGACTGCCAATGGCATGGTGAGCCAGGCTGTGCCGCAAGGGGCGGTGAAGACAGCAGCTCAGCTCACGGCGCAGGTGCACACGGAACGCCCAGGACGTGAACACGCAGGAAGAGACACAGAGGATAAAATGATGAAGGCGACCAGAGTATAAGCACACCTCACACCATTCCCGTCATGGATACACTCTGCTTGTAAGCACGCCAAGCCACTCGACCCCCGGAGTCCTCACCACTTGCA